GAGGCCCCCGGGTGAGCGGGGAGCCCGGGAGATCCCACGGGGAGAACTTGAACTGAGCCTGACCGACCTCAGCAGCAGCCACGTCGAGGGAGGCTGTGGGACGAGGAGGCACAAGCTGGTTCTCAGGCGGCAGAGCACTAGCTGCTTGCCCGATGCCAGGCGTCCCCTTTTCCCTGAGCCACCTCGGTCCCCGGCTATCAGCGGGGGCCCGGACTCCAGCCTCTTGGTAAAGGCGTCTTCTAGCTACTCCAAATCCCTGGATCTGGGGGGGTCGCCCCCCTCAACCCCTCCTGCCGTTGCCAGGACGGACTCCCAGAGCTCCCAGTCTGAGCCTTCCAGCAGCAATAAGGGCTACAGCCACCTGGAGGAGGCAGGCACCTCCTTGGAGTCAGTTGCCAACACCCCAGCCAGTAAAACCCAGGATTGTGAGAAGGAACTGGCTGAGAAGACGGACCCCCTCAAGGCTACCAGCAGAGAACAAACAGGGGAGCAATCCCAGCAAACTCAAAGACAGTACACAAATAAGGAGAAACTCTTTATGATTTCTAGGTCGCACGCTGCATTAGGGCTGGAGGACGGGGAGCTGGAGAGTACTGGCATCTAAACAAAGCGGAGAAGGCACCAGGACACCTTGCGACCCTCCACACCTCCCCCCCTGCTCCATCTCCTTGTGGACGTAGGAAAGCATCAATATCCAAAGAGCTGCAGCATGTTACCCAGGAAAAGCAAATTCCACGGCTCCTGTAGATGACTTCAGGAAGAAAAAGAAAATCCTTTCTGTCTGATCGTGGTTGTATGTTCCATGCAAGCCAAATTGTATTAAATATCCACAGCCCAGCAAGTTCTTTGGATCAGATTAATACAATTTTGGACAGTATGACTGTGCACTTTACTGTTTTGATTTCCAAGTGCCCCTTCTTCTCCTCTGATTTCTTTCTTGCTGATTTGCCACTAACTGCTTGAAAACCGTAGGCACCTTTTTAAGCTCAAGAGCAACGTGGTCTTCAGATCAAGAAAGCCGAGCTCTCTCTTTGTTTTGGTTCAATCACTAAAAAGTTTGCAAGGCCTTAAGGATGACGTACCTTGACAAAGAATGAGTTTGTTTAAATTCTGGGAAAAAATGACAATTTAGAAGAGACTGGAGCAGAACAGAGCTCTGATTTAGTTGAAACCATTACATTCCTGAATCCAAAATACCTACTACTATGTGATACTTGATTAAGTATTAATACACATGTATTGACTAATAGCATTAAAAGATTTTTTTTTTTTAATAAAACATTTACAAACAAAACTGCCACGCTAAGCAAGTCCTTTATTTTGGTAAGTAATTACAGATATCAGAAACATTTTGGTTTTATACTGTGAAAGATTATAGAGAGGTATGAGGCCAAAGGCTTGTTTATGCTTTTAAGTGGGTAATTAATGAGTAATTTCAAAGTAAGTACTGGTTCAGGCTCTGAGAAACCACACTTCAGTTCGATTGGCAGATTCTGTCTCCGTTTCTAACAGTGCTCTGTGACAGCTGAAGAAATGTGAGATTTTGACATGCTAAGGGAAAAAAAAAGTTTTTAAAGGTTTGACCTTCTATTAAAATTAGATTATTTTTTTTTTTGTGGGTAACGTGTAAGTCTCGTACTGCAGCATATTCTTTCTGGATTTTTCACTTCCCGTGTAACTGTTGCAATAAGCCTTTCTGCTGTTGCGGTTCTTACTTGTGAATGCATGTGCATAACCTTAATTTTAAAGCGTGATGATAGCCCTGTCAATCGCGTAGCAGTTGGCTCTATTGGAGTCGGCGGAGGTTTCTCACTGACTTTGGCGTGCTGAGGATTTCTTCCTGCGTGAGAAAAGCATCAGGTTTCCTGAAGGCTGGAGAATGCCTTGTCTGTAGGCAGATTTTTGGCAAATTGATGAGCTGTTTCATTTTCATAGCTGCAGCACGGCAGGCACTCTCTTATTTTGCCAGAACAGCTTTATGTGCTCAGAAGATTTTGTCAATACTTCAGATTTTAAATATGGATGTGGCATTTCGCTACTACGGGAAGAGAAACCGACATTAAACAAATACAATCTGTAGGCAGGCAAGAGTCTTTCTGTTGCAATTAAATTTTTTCTTATGGTTTCATGCTTTAAAATGCATAATTTAACTACTTACATTACAATACCTTGCAAAATGGAATATAACTATCACTAAATGCAATTGCGTTTAGTAATCCAGCAAAATTCATTATTAAATAAGGCCAATTTAAAAGAAAAGGGAAAAAAACCAAAAGAACATTTACCATGTCAGAGTCTCGAAACTGGAGAAGCAGAAAGTGCTTGTTCTCCCGAGCAATGGAGACATCCAGGTGGCAATACCTCTCCTCCTGCGAGGGACAACCAGCGCGTTGACGGTATGAACATCAGCGTGGGGGTGTTTTGTTATCAAACCGGTAGGACGCAGCTGGCAAAAAGTGGTTGTAAAAGGGCCTGGGCTGGGTGAGGCTCCAGGTGAGGTGGGGAGCGGGCGGCTGGGCTGGCGCTGGCCTTTGCACGGCTCTGTCCCCGCTGTCCCTCATGGGCGACGGCCCTGCGCTCCTGCTCCTTCCAGCACCTTCCAGCAAGCTTTGCGAGGTGAACCTGGGCGGCGTTGCCTGGTGCCGACGGAGATGCTGGGGTCACTGGCACGGCTGACGGCACCCTCGCTGTGCTTCCGCGTGAAAACCCTTCGTGGTGGTGCAAGGGAAGAGGCGAGTCACAGGTGCTGCGTACCGGGGCATGGGGTCCTTGTGAAGATGTGGCAGGGGGTTGTTTTATTCTGAGAGGGGGAAACAAATACTTTTTTTAATATTCTTAGCAAATATTTCTGTAGTCATTTGGATCTACAGTGTACTCTGAAAAAAACCCGACTTTAAAAAAGCCTCTGGGTACTCCTTAGATTGATTTTAAAACAAAGCAGCCCAGTAATTCTTCTGATGATTAATTTACTGCAAAGCTTTCTGAATAACAAAATTACAACAGAGTTTGGGCTTAATAAGGAAAATTATAGCTTGTTCCTGTGTTTCCAAAAAAAAAAGGTGTGAAGCATGAACATTCATCGGTCAAGCTGAATTTTTTAATAACATCAGCCAGAAGTGATTCGTAACATACAGATTAATAAGCAGAGAACGCTGCCGCTATCTGTTTCCATGTTATCCAAAAATCTCTCATTATTTTTGCAAACTTACTAGTTAAAACTATTTGTTGAGCTACTTATGCGGTGGTGGAGTTGGAAACTTTTGTTTGAAGGTCAAGATGGGCAAGTTAAACATGCCGATGTCAGAAAACAGCCGAGACATTCAACGCCGGCGCAGCAGCGGTGCCTGCTGTGAGCACCGTTAGCCTCGGAGAGAAACGTGGGGGCTGCGGGGAGCTGAGCCTCTCCTGGTGGTCCCGGAGGTGATGGGCTCTGAGCGCTGGCCTGCTTTTGAGTCTCTCCCAGCTGGCCCTGACCCCTTTTCTCAGCCCTGCCAGGACGCCCCTTGGCCAGCGCTGGTGCAGCCTGTCACACACTTAGGCATTTTTCTCTGCTTTAGCCTCTCCCTTTTCACCTTCGTCCCCAGTGTCCTGCCACCAAGAGCTTCCTCCATGGTCCTCGGTGAGAGCCAAGAAGCTGCCTCTGCGTACCAGCATCCTCCTGCCTGCGTGTCGCCGAAAGACCTGTGCTCCCACACAAAATGTTTATTAAGAAGGAATCGCTAGGCCCTCTATTTTAAAAGTGGTGTCGGTGAAAATGTGTTAAGCTAGAGTACCTAGGCATAAATTTTTGCTATGGAAAAATCAGATTTTGGTCCAGAAATGTGTGTTTTGGTTTGTTTTTTAGCACAGAAGTACTATTTATGTAAGATTTCTGCCTGACCCCTCAGAATACCCCCCTCCCTAGGCAGCAGGCTGCCTCTGGTCACTGTGCATGTAGATGCTGCTTGGAGCAGCCTGAGGACAGGCAAACGCCCGAATTGTGCTGCCCTTCGTCACCAAATCCTCGGGCCTCTGCAGAAGCTGCTGACACGATGGTACCCTCGCCCAGTCCTGCCTCAGGTTTCGCTGGCCAGCAGTGTTTCACATCCTTGCATTATCCGGGCTCCCTTGGCTGAACGGGTTGACCAAACTCCCCAGCAGCTGACGTACCAGCCCATCCACCACAAAAGGCTATAGCCCAGATTTAGTACCCGGGATTGTTTAGTTACATTTTTAACAGCCGTTTCGGGGACTGATGCTGTCCAACAGTGAGTAATAGTGCACATACAAACATCAAATTAGGTAACTGTGAACACCGATGTATGCCTGCAGTCTGAGATAGGGTATGGCTTTCTGTAACAGCCAAAATGGTTCGTACCAGAGTCACCGGAGGCAGCTCCATCAGGAGACAGCCCCGGTGAGCCAATACGGTACTTCTGCAACGCCATAAACCAGCCTTCCTCCCTCATTCCTGAGGCGTACTTTAGGTCTCTCCAACGGGTGCAGCATGTTTTTACTTTATTGACTTTACAATCCAAATCCATTTTAAAGAAACACCATTTGGTCTCGGAGCCTAGTAGAATCTATTATTTAAAATGCTTGTAGAGTCCCTATTAAAATAGCATCAGATGACCTCACAGTCCTTAATGTATTTCACTCTAGCGTGCCTTGGGTACAGAGCATGACTACCTTCCTCTCTAAAATCAAGGCACAGAGATACAGCCACAGCCAAAGTGTGCAAAGACCAGGTATTTTTTTAAAGGGAGAAGACTATAGGCACCAGTATCTGGTGATGGCAGCACACAAGTACCTGCCTCTACGCGATGTTTCCAAACCACGCCTGGGGAAGAGAGCCTCGAGCGTTTGTCCTCCAACAGAAAGCCTTCCCGCATCTTTAACAGAGCCGTTTTCTGCGTGTGAGACACCGACGTGCTAACCTATTTCACTGGCTTTCAGACTCATCGCACACAGTATTACAGGAAATAACTCAGCAAAAGCATAAGGCTTTCCAAAGATCTCCCTGCAGAGTACTTAAGGACACAAGTGATATTAGGCAGCTGCTGACACGCTGTTTCAAATAAGAAACTTAAAATGAGAACAGGTAAAGTCTGAAACTGCTTATTAGTTTGCTGTGGTGACACAGCATAAGGTGTGAGAGCGGCAGCTCTTTGGGTTTTGGAAACTTAAATCCGTCTGCTGGCACCGCTCGCTTGGTTAACGCTACAGGCTGCCTTGGTGCTGGAGAATGCAAACCACCGTTCTGGTCCTCGCAAGGCGCACAGTGCCTGGAGCAGCAGCACCAAAACAAGGACGGGTGCTACGGCTGCGTCTCTCACCATCTGTGTGATCAGAGACTAAGGCAAGCAAGCTGCAGAGGAAAATTGTTTCTTTTAGACCCTTAAACTAGAGTTTTGCTGCATTATCACCTGGATGAAGCAGTTGCACTTTTTAAGGAACTCTTTGGGACTAACAGGCAGGAAAGGTGAGGGTGCTTTCCTAGCACTGTTCTTTGCAAGCATCTACTGCCGCTCCTCTGGCACGCAGCGGGGAACACAAAAGTGGAATACACGTAGCAGTGTCGGGGATGGAGAAGGTTTTAGTCAGCAGCAGCTTCAAGTGGCCTGGGTGGCATCGCTCAGTGACATACCCATTTCAAACAGATGCTGATAAATATTCCATACTACGATACTGGATTGCCTCATCTTTTTTGCTTTCTTTCCTACCACACGAGACAGTAGATTATTTGTATTACACATAGCAAATGGGAGCAACGTCCAGCAGCATTCTCTTAAAAAGTTCGTGTTTGATGAACATAACAGGTATTTAGTCTTCGTGACTCTGAAGTTGTGCTTAACGCACTGGTTTGATCATCTTTAAATATAGAAGCCTTAGCAGGTCTTATTCTATCAAGAAGAGTCCTGAGAATTGCTCTGTTTTTCCTCTGTCACTGGCTACAACTTAATCAGCTTTTGTTTAAATGAATAATTCTGTTACAGTACAGAGCGTGAGCAATTATGTTACACGTGCTCAAATCTGCATACTGCAGCAACACAACATATATAAATCATCATGTTTATGCACAACTAAAATACATTACTTCTACATAGCCCAAAGAACTGAGCCAAACGCTGAAAACTGAAATTCTGGTGCAACACACAGAGCAAGGTATGCACTCGGGGTAAAGCAGGTGTCCTAGATCCTAGATGGAGAAGGTAATGAGGGAAGGGCTGATCTCACCACAGCAGCGATTTCAAGGCATAAGCACAGTGATCAGAGCTGTTTGGAACGGGAGGTTACACTGAACCTGCCACAAGT